CACATAGAACTCTAGTGGTCTGGAGATTGTGAAAAAGATATGCTATACAAGCTTTTGAACAAAATACTTCAAGTCACATAGAACTCTAGTGGTCTGGAGATTGTGAAAAAGATATGCTATATAAGGCATTTGGATTCAGAAGGTTGGCAAAATTTTATTGAACAACACATAAATCACAAAATTTATCAGAAATGATAAAAAAATGACAATCAAAGCTAAAAATGTAAAAAGACTAACTGTAGAAAGAGATAATGTTCCAGATGTAAGAACACTTAATGTAAATAACTTATTGCAGGAGTCAACATTTTACCTAATAACATAAAACATAAATAAAATAATTCCAACCCAAGCACATCACATTGAGTACTTATTATGCCAAAGGAAACATTTTAAAAACGTTGTAATAGTGTGAGCAATCATGGAAGAATCAGTCATAAGAACATCCCTTACACAGTATGTACAAAGATCAAACTCATACCTTGCACATGACATTGACAGTAAAGTCAACAGCTGTTACACCAGTAATTTAGTAGCGCTATAACTTCCCTACCGTAATTTGAATAAAATCAGACTCAAGAATTTACTTGATTTGTTAAAAACTTCGACAAACAATCCAGTCAAGGATGGTCGAATGTGATGGTACAACACAGCACCTTCTTTAAATTCTTCAGAGGAAAGACATCTTTCCTCTAGAATCTACAAGTGAAAAAGTGGGAGATAAAATTAACATTTACTGTTCACTCATCTAGAAATAATGTATAAGACACAATTGGTGAAGACAGGAGACAAAGATTACTCATGCCTGATGTATGAGAAGAGAAAAGCCATAGTAGACAAACACTAACTAAACTAAAAATTTCCAAAATTCAGGAATTGACAATTGATTGATTACAACAATTTTAAAATTGGTTACAAATGATGATTTGAGCATGCAACAAAAGTAGATAGATTATACCCTCACTTTGTCCAAATCAAATTTACAAGAAATGGATCTCAATCATAGTGTTTGTGGACTTCAATCTATATTTCAATACAGTCATACTGACACACATCAAGTTATGTAAGAGAAAAAAAAATCACACACATGCAAATTTATCCAAGAAAATAATAAAATGACATCAGTTCCACACCTCAAATACATTTACATACACAAACACTTTAACTGTGTGATCCAGAGGTGTCAAAAGGAAATAAGGCTTCTAAATTATCACATATAATGACAACTAAGATTATCCACAAGACAACTTAAATTGGCAGGATAATAATAGGTTACAGAGCAAATATATAGCAAAATAGGCACGATAAAGATATGCAAGAGTTAACACAGATAATAGGCAAAGCAGACAGCAAAACAGACATATTTATCAAGACAGAGAATTGTATATACTGTATAACTGACTACAGCAGACATTGTGCAAACATCAGCAGCAAACTACATGTATTGGTAGCTGAGTATGTGATGATGCAAAAATCTGCTAAGATCCAAATTAACATTACATCACAGAGGCTCATTACGAAAATTGTGCACAAGGTAAAAAGAACAGTTTGAATGCAAGATGGCATACAGTAAAATGATGGTAAAAGAACATTAGCAATGACTCAATAGAACAGCAAAATAAGCTGATCATTTGCACAACTGTCTCGGATTAGATTTGAACATCCAACGTGCAACACACATTAAACTTGGCTAATTTGATAATTACTTGTGCTTCTTTGATATATATATATATGTATCAGGAGATTAGGACACTAATTCCATGTGACATTATTTACAAATGTGAATCATTAATATATTAATATGTTTCAAATTATTATACACATAAAATAAATGCTTTAAAGCTGTATAAGAAAACAAAAATACATACAGTAATTAACATGCAAATAAAACAACTATCATTTGCTTTGGGTTTTGAGTACTGTTACAATAGAGTGATCCATTGCAACTGTGTCCTACACCATAAAGACTTCAATAATTTGCCAAAAATTTAAAAATGGAAACATTAAAGGACTCTGTGAAAAGTCTCAATCTAAATGAATCAGACCTATAGCTTTCCGAAAACTTCCCATCAAAGGAAGATGGACAATAGGTAATAGCAAGAGTATATCCTCCAGTACTCCACAATCCCACATCACTAGGACCCCCTGAAGTGTCAGCAGCAAATTATATTATTTGTGGTCATCGTGTTCGGAGATGCCGTAGAACTTCGCCTGTAAACAGAAAGACAAAACTCAAATGCAGCCAGCAAGATTTAGATACATAAAAGCATACTAGCAAAGTGAAGGTGTTCTTTCAAACTCAATAGCAATATTAAAGTGTGCTTCTAAAATCTAAATTCAAACCACTGTAAAATTAAGTCAATTTTAAAAAGTGTAAAGTTTTGGGTTGAAGAGATATGCATGCTCCTATGCACCCCACAAAAAGTCTCAGTGTTTTTCATTAGTCCTCTGATTACTAGACCATTACACGAAAAGCAGATAAAACAAGATCTACATGACACACAATAGTTACTGGTGATATGTACTTCAAAACCCAAAAGAAAATTCTGGTTAAATAAAATTGTGTGATTACAACATGCATAGAAGTCAAGGAAATCTAAATTGGGAGAAAAAAGAAGGGAACTTACATAATGGACTTCAAAGAAGATCCATACTGGGATGCAAAAACAACAGGAAGTTAATGAGTTAGAAAAAAAAAAACCCTCAATGATTAGTCCTAGTAATATGACTAACTAGAAGTGGTCTGTGTTAAATTCTTAAAATGTTATAATGCAAGTTGTTTTCATTAAAAACTCAAACTGCACCCAAAATAAAGTGCCGGAAGGACATACACAGCTATGCAACAGTGGTCTGCTGTTCTCGACTTTGTGCAGCCACTCTTTCCTCCTCCTCACTGTCCCAAGAAACAAAATGCTGCAGAGCAACAAACAATAATCTGAATTTGAGTGACAATCACCAATAACAAACGTTTCAACCTGGATAAATTAAGTACTTCCAAAGGAACTTTTCCTAAATGAAATTCCTAAGAATTTGCATTAACAACTTTTGCTTTAGTACATATAAAAATTGTATTAAAACAGCAGCATAATAAATGTTGGTTACACTTCCCACCACACTGTAGACCAGAGCAAGAATACTTTTAACCAGGCACCCACACCAAATGTCTAACATAAGGGAACCTCACCTCATCATGAGCTTCTTGCTGTGAGCGGTTAGTATCTTCCTCATCATCGGAGTCATCTTCTCCAGAAGAGTCTGCAACAATTGTTTGTTTAAAGGAGTATATTTAAACAATATTTTAAAAAAACAAAAAAAAACAGGGGAAATGTATCAATTTTAGATTTATCTCATTATGTACCTTTGCTGAAAGAATTCTCCCCACTGTTTGAGCTGAGAACTTTTGCACGGGTCAGGCTGTCATAGCATGTGAGACACACACGCAGGGGCTTGGATGACTGATGAGGCAAGAGATAGCGTTTGTTGGAGCAAGGGTTGCAAACAACTGCTCCACATTTGCGGCAATGGTGCTGCAATACCAATTATAAATATCAAGAATTTAGATTCCTCCACAACAAATCACCTACACAGTTTACTGGTACCCATTAATTCAAATGAACTTACCCTCCTATTAAGAACGGTGAATTGGGACTTCTTACAGTGCATACATATTACAGCTTCAGCATCGGGAACCCACACAGCAGCATGCTCCTCCACTGCCTTCTTGCCACCTAAGTTATTACATAATAATTGCATAATTATTACATAATTATTTTTCAATTCTTTCAAATCATGTTAGAATCAATAGGGCAGGAGGGATGAAAATGTACAAATCTTTCATTGAGTGATATACTGACAACAAGTGTCTACTTACTCTTTCTTAAAAGATCTTCAATGCACTTATTTATGTGTGCCATCCATTCCTGCTTTTCAGTTGAAGTAGCAGCATATACCGCAAAGGACTTGGTAGAAGTACGAATCACCCATCCATTCCTAAAGTCTATGTTTACAACACAGAGAGAGCAGTGAGCAGAGTGCAGCATGCACACAAGAACAAAGCACCAACAATTGTTACTCACGTCCATCATCTTCCAAAGATTCAAGTTTAACTGCTTCCAGAGGTATGATGTGCTGTTTGTTATACTGTAGAAGTAAAAAGAAATTTAAACATATGCTCCAAATGGATCATGAAATCTTCGGCAAAGCACAAAAAGCTGAATACACCATACCTTTTTCCTGTTCATAAGGATATTTCCGTATACAAGAATGTCATTGAACAAGAAAAATTGACGAGCTTTGGCTCTTTTACGACACATTTTGGTAAGAACTCCTTCCCCTACCAAAACCCGCCCTGGGACAGCCAATGGCTAGAAAAAAGGTACAAAAGTAGAGAGAAAAAGAGACATACTTGATTGCTTTTAATTCAGACTTTTATCCAACTAACATACCTGCCCTGAACTGCCAAAGCAGCTCTCCACAAGTTGAATGCGCCGTGCATTGGCCTCACTGTTCACTGCAAATGTCAAGAGAGCAAGAGTTCTAGAACAGCTCTGATAGAGAAGAATGCATCTTTAGAGGTATACTGTTTAAATCTCTGAAATGACTTGTCAACTGGCTTGTCTCGGCATGCCCTTCATTGACATGACAGTAGGAGATCTAAAAGGAAAAACAGGACTGGCTTCGCTTCATGCACTTTAAAGAAGTACATGAGAATTAACAAACGATTAAACAAAAAATGAAACTATCATGACTAATAAGTTTATTGAATCAAGGGCATCTCTAGATTTGGCATAGGTTATTCTGGAATTTCTTATCAAACACCAAGGTGTGCAACAAAAATAAATTTTGTTGACAGAGTAAATCATTAGAAGTTGAAAAATTCTAATGTGACTGAATTGATAGTGATCTAAAACATAAATAGAGAGAAAATTGAATGAAGTTGAAAGAGAAAACGGTACATACCCAATCTATCCACCATGTTAGAAGACGAATAACGTCAATGAGAATGAGTCATAATTCGCTGACAAAAGCCTAATAAATTAGAGTTGACACTGCCTATAACTTGGATCTGCCCGTAGATTTTTAGCACAAACAATGTCAATTAGATATATTAATCAGAAAACAAAGATACAACACAAAAGGTAGATACGCCGTCACTAGAAGAGTACAGCGACAGGAATACAAAACACACCCTGCTGCTGGTCAAAATTTTGACAGTCGACAGTACGGTTGAGCACACGGGCGACATAGGAATCAGCGACACTAGCGCTCTGCGCTCTCGTCGGCTGCTTCGGT